CGACACATTTTTGAGTTAGTTATAGCTTTAAGATCATTCTTATGTTGCTCTAAATCTTTTGAGAAGATTAGAATATCATCTATATAGACCAAACAACAATGATTGAGTTCTCTAAAAATATTATCCATTCTTCTCTGAAATATTTGTGGAGCATTTTTTAATCCAAAAGGCATTACTAGCCACTCATAGTGTCCTTAAGGGGCACTAAATGCAGTTAATGGAATGCTTTCTTCTTCCATTTTAATTTTCCAATAGCCACTTTTACAATCCACTTTAGAAAACCATGTGTCTCCTTGTATTCTATTGAATAATACTACTTTATTAGGAATGTAATAGCCATCAAACACAGTATTATCATTTAGCTGTTTATAATTAATGACCATCCTAGCTTTTCCTCTTTTTTCTTCTGCATGATTTCTTACCATGAATGCTGGACTATTATGAGGACTCTTGCTATTCCTAATCAACTTCTTATTCAACAATTATTTTATTTGCTCATCAAATTCTAGTATATCTTGATAGGTATAAACCATTTGCCTTACTCTGATAACCTTATTAGGATTTGTTAGGGTTATCTTAGCAAATGCCTTATCCTTGTCCCAATGTTCTAATGGGTTTGTTGAATACAGTTTTTCACATAATTTTTCTTGCTGTTTAATTATCTGATTTATTAATGATGATTCACACTCAGAAATTCTAAGTGCAACCTCTCGTTGTGTAGGTGTAACTCTATCACCACGCTGGCTGCGCGTAAATTCCATAGTCTGATGAGTATAAGCCTTTGTTATTTTCTGTATAGGAACAGAATAACCATTAATAGTAAAGATTATTTGATCAATAGTTTGAGTGCATGGAGAGTATAGTCTTTGAAAAGTATTTCCTATTATCATATCATGACTAGGCTGATCAGTTGCCCATAAAATAGGAATAACACATTGAACACCTCCAATTTCTATTGGCAATTCCTCTATTATTTCCGTATGCATCAAAACACTGTTACTAGCAATTCTTACCTGTATAGGATTTTTAGCTTTTTTCCACAAGAATTCTGGAAATAATGACCTTTTTCCAAAACATGTAGAACAACCACTATCAATATATATATACATAATTTATATTTATTATAATCTTCAATGCATATATCAATTGGAATGTAAATGCTATTAGGATTAGTACTGGATATTTCATTATAGGCTTCCATTTGCATATTAACTTCATCTTTCATATTTTGGTTCACTCATAGTTTTAGTCTTATATCCAATTACCTTTCTTTTTTCAAAAATAGGATTATTTAGATCCTCATTTATCTCTAAATTAGAACACGAACCAATATCAATATTATGCCTTACTGTTTGTTTCAAGGCTTTCTTAATTTCATAATTTTCATTTAGCTTCTTTATTAAAGCTAATATTTCTTCTTCATCCTCTTCTGGCTTTTCATCGACTTGTTTTTTCATCTTTATTATAGTTGAATTTTGTCTACTTAGACTTGGTGATCTAAGACTCATAATTCTCTGTATTTTAGGTTTTGTAGTTATCCCAATATGAAGCAATCCTGATTCATCAATTAACAACTTACTTAACCTATTTTTACAGCAGGATTCATGAAGAATTCTTCCCAAGTTTTTTCAATTTTATTTCATTAGGATTTACCTTTATAGGTACAATCTTCTTCTTGGGACCTCCTCCTAACTCATATTTTTGAGCATCTACTATTTGTTTCTTGAAAGATGAATCTATAGTGTTGACCAACTAATAGACTACCTTCCATCTTAATTGTATAGGTCGAGTTCCTTTATATATGTTTACTCCATCAGTTAATAACTTGATTGCTAGAAACTTTGGAGCATATGAATCTTCTAAACTAATATAATATCTAGGTTCACATATATAACTTACCGTTCCTTGACTTAAGCTACAAGTGATACAACAAATAATTTGTCCATAGAACTCTTTATGACTAACATCACAAACAAAGCTTAAACATTTAACATTTTTACCAAAATCTTGTAAAGGAGTTATGTATACTTGTATTGCACCAATACAAATATAACTATAATTTCCTTTTTCTTTATGGTTCTTAATGCTTTTCCAGTTTATGATATTAATTTCTGCTGCTTTCTTTTCACAATCCTCGATTACTATACTTCTTTCCATTTCTTCACATATATATTTAGTTCTAGTTTTAAGGAAAGAAGTTTTAAATATTTTATCTTTAGTAATCTGGGGGAAATTCCAGCTTTCCTTGTTCATTTGATCTAGGTCTTTATCTTCAATTGAATACTCAGCTTTTTAGTTGACCTATAGTCATTTTACTTTTATCATCTTCATCATCTGACTCAGAATTTTCTAATATTTCTTCTTCCACCATGTTATTTATTTTTTCATAATTTTCATCTTCGAATTCACTGTCTTCAGGTTCTTCATTATACTCATTTTCTTCCTCAATTATTTCTACTATTCCTTTATTATTACTCAAAGCTAAGACTAAAGCCTCATCTTCCGCTATTTCTATGTAATCCCAACTACCAAAGGCTTCCATTAGTTTATGATTAGCTTTCTTGCATTCAGCATAATGCCCTAGTTCTCCACAAGACCAACATTTGCATGTTTTCTTTTTCTCAGGGCAATACGTTGCTTTTCTGAAGAATCTACTAGGTTTTCTATATTTATGCTTATAATACTTCTTCTTATAGGTTTCTCCTCTGGATCTATCAAATTTATTCTTCTTATAGTTTTTCTTCTTGCTATAATTCCTTCTTTCACATCCATAGTTATTTGGGAAACCCTAACAAGTGAGAAATTGTCTTTTCATTTGTTGAGTTCCTGCAACCTCTCTACATTTCTTTTCTATCCACTTTCTTGGGAAAGCAATTCGATTACCTAGGGAATCCCTAGCTATATATTTTTCTCTCCATTCTTGATATTTTTCACTAATTTCTTCATTTAGAGGATTTGGTAATTTATCATAGAACATTCCAAGGTTTGTTTCGTTTTCACCAATTTTATAATATTATGTTTCAAACTCCATAATGTAGTTCTCAACGTATTTCATATTACAGATAGAAAGATTACTTAATTTCCTTTGATATTCCATTCGTTTTTCATTAGGATCGGCTCTAGGAACAATGAATTCTAACTCAATGTATTGACATAATTGTCTAAACATTCTAGTAGGAGATTCACTAGTTCTTAATTCGGTTTTAACTTCTTCATCACCATCATACCAATCTTCTACACAACCATAGAGGCTATGTTCTATGTAATTTAAGAAATTTTCAGAAGTCCATTCAGTGTTTAGGTTAAGTACACTACTCATGATCTTTTTCCATTAATCTAAAACATCTTGCCTATCTCTTACTCCATCTAATTTGAGCTTATAACCAGTTTGACTAACAGGTTCAAGAGTCACTTCTTCTTGCTTTGGTACTTGAGTTGGCATAACCTTGACACTAAACCGGGTAGTCTTCCCTGGTATATATTTTGGTTGTGTACAACTTCCTTCTCCTTGATACTTAGGTCTTTGGATAACATTATTTACGTTATTTATTATTTCTTCCCCAACATCATTATTATCTAGGACCCTTTTACCGAATTTGTTATCAATCTTTTGTTGAACAATTTCAATAGGTAAAAAGTCTAAGTCTTTTAGTTTCATTAATCCGATTTGCTGATACAAGTCTTCTTCTAAAGTAACATAATTATTTTCTTCTAATTCAGTATCAAGAACAATCCCTCTTTTAGAAATTATTTTCATGATCTTATTTAGTTTATTAAGGTCTTCTTCTTTATCAAATAATATTTGTAATTCTTTAATCGTTTTATCCTGAAGATGATGGCTCATCTTTAGTTTCTTTATTCTTTTCCTTTTCACTATGGTTCTTTTAGGGAGTGATACAGAAAACTTCTTATTTTTATCTACGTTTTCAAAAGGATATTATATTTATAAGGAACAATTTTTTCCTTATTTGGTGATATTTCTTTGTTAAACTAATGTCTAACTTCGTTTGTTAAATCAAGTTGTACTTGTTTAACTTGTTCTCTTAGTTCACTTAAATTTTTATTAATATCAGATGTTGTTGCTAACAACTTATTTTTAATATTCATGCAACGACAATGTATACTATCAACTTCTACTTTTAGTTCACCAATTTGATCTACTATATAGTTAAGGACTAGACCAAAATTACTAGTATTTTCAGGAATGTGATAGTAGTGTTTGAACTCTGGTTTCTTACACTCAATAGATGGTCGAGAGTTCTCCAGTTTTACTTAGTTAATTACTTACTAATAACCGTATGACTCTGATACCAAAATCGACGATCCCAGACAATAAAAGACAATGACAATATTTTGATACTAGTGAGTGACAATATAATTATAACCAATGACGAGTACAAAATAGCTAATTTGATCAACACGGCAATATAATATAAGTAATGACATTAAAACTTTTGAAATGACAATGTTTTCTGAGTTTTAAACTTATCCTACTGATAAGAGTTCAGAGTTCTGGTACTTTTTTTTTTTTGCTTGTGCACGGATTAATAGGCACAGCACGTTGCTAGGCTAAGCATTACCCATATAAAACCTATTTGGAAAGTTATTTTTGTTGAAGAAAACAAACCTCACTTTTCGATGTTGACTGGCCATTTTCCGACGTTGACCCATCATGTGCATGTCATGTGCCTTTTATTTTTACTATTCCCACCCCTCTTTTTCTAATTCCCTCCTTGACCCCACTAATTTAAACCCTTATCTCTCTCTTCCCCTCTCTCTCTCTCTCTATGAACTTGGCCATTGTCAAAGTTCATTGAATTCGAAAAAACTAGTTGCTTTTGTCGCAAAATATATCTAAATAAATTCAACTTTTTATCCTAACAAAAAAAATCCAATAAGAAAATTAGATAACATAAGTAACTACCTAAATACCTAATATTGGATCCGAAATGAAAACCCACATTCCAATATCAACACTTTAGGTGGTCACAAGATACTCGTTCAGGTTCGCAAAGACCCTACGTTTTCGAACAATTAAGCATACAATGTGAGATCACCACAGTTCATTCATTATTCATTCCAATTTGTTACAATGATGGCTTGCGAAAGCCTTTGAATTAGAACGGGGAATTATGCATATTCCCCGAGAAATGCTTCCACGAACTTAGGGTAGGGGAGCAAATAACTCAGGACCCTACATAATCTGGTACCAAGCAGCAAGTTTTGACCAGAGAAATCCAGAAACAGAAATATGTACAAAGTTTTCGAGACAAATATTCGTAGGAAATAGGAATTCATAGCGATTTCACACAAACGATAGAAGTTTCAAATGGGACTAAAAAAACTCATCAAACAGCTACAGCAGCAGCAGCGGCGGCTTGAGGAATCTTGCCATTATCAGAGGAAGCAACACAGTCGTAGTATTCCACCAAAACCTTCCATCCACCAGGGCACATAAATCCATTAGGGGGATTTTCTTTGTTCTTAGCCAGAGTTCGCATCTGCAGTAGATCAAACTTGATCAATTTATAATGTTTTTCAAACTAAAAAGATGGCATAATTATCGATGCCTTGCTAGAATTGTAGATTTGATGATTGATAATTACCTTGGTGCCTGATATGAACTGAAAATCTTGAGGCCTTGATGGATCGAAGAATGCCATTTTGCCTTGAGTCTTGTCATAAGCAGCAACCTGATGTTTTAGGAAACAGTGATTAATAACTAATTTAAACATGCAACAGACCAAAAAGAATCATGATTCAAAGCTAAAATATTGAACCTTGAATGGAAGGATGTTGAGTCGCTCGAGTCCAGGAGCCATGCTAAGCACCTTCTTCCCATGGTCAGCATCATATAAATCTCTTTTCTCAACAGGATGACCCATGCCGGCAGGGTCACGGCCAACAATGTAAAAATTGGCACCAGCATTAATACGAGCCTTTGCATGCCATTGTACCTCAGTTGGACCAGCATAGTGCATAGGAGAAGGAAATATTGAAACAACAGTCGTCTCTGGGTCTAACACACCATCTTCAAGCACCTAATATAGGTCACACTTAAAACAGTTATTGATGCCATGCATTAATCTGGGGATTATTATTCTTTAAATTATCCAAATATCATGAAGAAAGGGGAATCAACCAAATACACTCAGGTCCAAACATTAACTAAGCATGAGCATAACAGGTCTATGAAGTGATATCTATACAATAACATTTCAGTAACCTCACTTTCCTCCTTAAGTTGACTACTTGATGATATAAGGTACTCCCTCCATATAAAAAATTGTCACATCATCCAAACCCTCATGTTAAAAATAAAGACAGATAAAGCATGAAAACACCCTTTAGAATTATAGAGTAGCTGGGTGATTAAAGTACTCTTCCCAATACAATTATACGTAGTAGGTATTGTAGAGTCATCATAAGTTATCCTATAACAAAACAGGAAACAAAATTTTTCCAAATTTTCGAATAATATGCAGGGGGTAGGATTCACTTCATATTCGAGAAGCTTCTCGAATGATAATGAAATGAATATGGAAAGCTCTAGAATTTTGATCATACCACATGCCACCCTTTCATATAATATGTAAGAGCCATAAATATGGCCTACAATAGCTTGCAGTATGAAGTATGAATATTGATTTTCCCATGAACAATTGAACATGTCATGTGGTCACAAAGAAGCGTAAAATGCCAAGCAGAGAGTCACTAGCAGTGTAAAATGCCTAGAAAATGCAATTATTAGAAGAACAGATTGACAAACCTTTTCATGTTGCTTCATACGCCAATGCAGTGGAACATCATCAGCCTTGGTGAAGCCTCCGAGTGGATTAAGCAAAAGGATAGGATTCTTATATCCCATGTCAAGAAGACGACGACGTGTGTCAGTCATTAGCAGAGCGTGACCATTGTGCACTGGATTCCTAAGTTGGAATGCAAAGACTGCATCAGCATCACGATTGAGGAATTCCTTGCGTAGCTGAGCAGGGGATAGACGGAACCTATCAAGACCATCATTGTACTTAATAGGTTCTAGAACCTCTAAATCCCCTCCAATCAACCAGTCTCCAGCATTGGCTATTGTTTCCTCCACATATGGAAGACCAGGAGCAGTGGTACCCCATGTTCTTGCAACACGTTCTTCTTTGTTGTGCTTGTATATCTGAATGCTGGATGGCAAACAAATACAGTAAATTGATTATAAGATTGTTGTAGCATTATATAAACATGATGGGGCAAAAGTTTTAAAGCATCAACAATTCCATCTAGGGGACTTATCATGTTATGTATGATTTTCAGAAGTCAAATGACTACACACATACAACAATTGTTTTGATGTGAACATATGTAAAATTCAGAACACATCAAAGTTTGTTTATTTGTTTTTTTTTTTTTTTTTTGTTGGTTTTAAAAATATGGAGTTGACTGCATCTCCCATTCAATTAGAGCAAAATTTAACTTATTCATAAAAACACAGCAAATCCTTACACTCACTCCTACATTTAACTGTCAACTAAGTTTGCTCAGATGATTGTCAAATTTCTAATAGAGACAAGAAAAAAGATTTGACAGGCCACAAAACTAAATATTATTGGTCTACAGTCAAAGATTTGCTTAAAAATGTTAGTTTAAATCATTTCACTTCCTTAATATAAGAGATATTATAAGATGAGAATAGTATTCCAGGGGCATGTATTATATATTAGATGTCAAAGAAAAGAAACAAATCTTACAATGCGTGCACGGATTTAAGGTGCAATTTAAAAACATTTACACTGTAACATGAAAACTCTGCACACTTTGTAGATTGTAGTATAGTCTCATGATTCCTATGACAAGTTTACCATTCTCTCCAATATATTCTAAATCATAATGGGTGACTTAAACTAAATTAAAAATGGATTACGAATTCGTTATTAGGAGAATTAGGACTACAACAAAGCGAAAAAATTTCACACTGTCATTTTTATAGTTTTAGTTGAATTATTTTAGCAAATACTCCCTAATTTCATTAATAATCTTACGGAGTAATCAATAGTGGCAGCTCTCGTGTCAAGTATCTCAAAAAGGCTAAAGCAAAAACAAGTTATAATTGGAAGAGGTTACTCCATTGAGCAACAATTCTTGTTTGAACAGATTAACACAATGATTAATAATAAATCCATTTCAAATTTAATCCAATTTAAGATTCAATCCCACAAATAGAAGTGTTTTGAATGTTAAGTCTACCAGAGTAATCAGGCTCAAATTTAATGATTATCCCATCAAAAAAATATTTTATGATATCAGTCTCTTTCTTTGTATTCCAAAAAGTCTTATATTCATTATATTATTGTCAACTTTAAATTCAACAAAAATTAAAAAAAAAAAAAAGAAATTTTTTTTTGAAATCTATGCTAAGAAAGATATTTCCTCCCTAAAGCCTAAATTCCAAATATCCAAAGCAGACAAATCTAAACATAATTTTACCTTAAAACAAAATTTAGAGTATAATCATAAACTTCAACAATTGAACTTGTGATACATAGTACGGAAAAGAAAGAAAACTAAAAAGGAAAGTAAAAATAGAGGAAGTCCCAGTATATCATGGCAAAATCGTAAATAAATCAACAAATACATTACTAAGAGGCTGCGGGTTCGAATCCCGCTCCATTCTGTACTCATTAACCCGGTAATAATTGAAGACATTAATCGATAAACAATTGCATTACAATTTACAAATCATTTATTTTAGACAATTAACGTTTATTACGATCAGTTAACAATATTTAGTTGAATGTGTTTTAAAATGAAAAAGCAATTCTCGTCTGAAACGATTCTAACAAAATCCCAGACAATGTTTTTTCTTATATATTGATAGAAACAATTAGTATTAAATCTAAAAACCAAAACGAGAAACGAACGATAAAATAAAATAAAAACTTACTCGTTGAGGATCGCAACCGGCTCATCACGAGCAGGGTCAAACAGGGCGACTCGGCGAGACTCACCAATCTGATCCTTGACCAAATCATCAATGGCGAGAACAATCGGAACCGACATGTTGACAAAGGAACCATCGTCAAGTCGGAGCGAATTGAAATGAAGCGTTTGGAGGAACTCATTTTCTTTCATGAACCCAGAAAGTGGGCTAGCCCACCCTTCACTAAGAATATGAACCCATTGTAGATCGATCTTCGTAAGCTTGATTCTTGGCAGTTCAATAGCCTCCCTCTTTTTCTCTCTCTTGAGGGATTCATCAACCACCAGTTCCACAAGCTTGCCTCCATCGGGCGAAATCAGCTGCGATGCGACTCGCAGCTGGGTTCGAACCCGAGGATTCCGGTTTCGAGTCGAAAATGGTATAATATTTGATGAACCAAATTGGGTTTTCGACAGCTTTGGGAATGAGATGGATGGATTTGTTGGGGTTTTGGTGAAAATAGCTGCCATTGAAGCCATTATTTGTGGTTGTTTTTGTGTTTGTTTTTTTAAATTAGGCCTGGCTTTTTGCCCAAGCCTAAGGTATTGTGCTCAAATGACAAAGATTTGTGGGTGTATATATAACTACTACTCGTAATTTATGTGTTTAATTATTCTAAAATAAATGAAATGAAACATTATGGGAAATAATTGGAAATAAAATATTTGTGAAATTGTGTTATGGAGGCTGAATCAGTTTTGCGTAAGTGCTTTTGTAGTTTTGTTTTGGTGTTTTTCTAATTTAATAAGGGGCATAAAAGACAGAGATGAACTTGGAATATTCAATAGGCCTATTCAATACTGAGTTATCTTTGGTAATAATGGTAAAATTGGTCACTATAAAATATTCATTTTTACAATTTTATATAGTACAATAGAGATTGTAATAAATAGAGATTGAAATAAATTGATTTTATTTTCATAAAATGTGTGAATCATGAGATTTTTTGTCAAAAATAAGAATTGATATGTTTGGAATTAATTGTCAAAATTGTGTGAATCATGATTATCTTACATATTTCAATAAGATATACTCGTACTTTGTAGTTTGTATATATTAATTAACATTTTTATAACTCGATTAACTTCCACAATGATTATATCTGGTAAATTTGGAAATAATCCTAATAATTATCTCAGTCAACATCATCACCAATACAATTGTGATTCAAATTTGATTATGTACTTCCTTTAAACTTTGTATGTAATAAAAAAAACACTGTATTTATGCGACGAATCTAGGGATGCATTAAGGTAATTCGTGACCAAGGTCCAAGGGCAGGCGAAAGGATTAATTGACTAGTCATCTAACATTAAGAAACATAATTTTTGGATATATTTAGTTTTGGATACCTTTTAATTTAAAGGAACGTTTCGGGAAAGAAAGTTTGTCAAGTGTGTTTTTGGCTTCTTTTTATGAAACGAGTCAAATGAACCTGGATTCTTTTTGGGTATTTCTCATAGGATTTAGGAAAAGCTTGATAAGAGGATAGAGATAGGAATGAACCTAGACAAGTTTCAAGAATTTGTACATGCTTCAACAGTTCAACCTACTACTTTATCACTTATATACAAATTAAATCGTCCACAATCAAATTAAAGCAGCTAATTATATAAGACTTTTTGGATAACCCACTATAGAATCAAAGAGCCAAATTGTGATTTGGACATTTGGTACGTACTTTTTATTTATTCATTTTTTTAAAAAAAAAATAAATGGTATGTGTTTTTTTCAATGTGTTTTATATATGATTGGTTACACCATGTGACCGCTTATGAAATAACAAGGACGTTTTTCCAAAGTGAGCCAATTTTGGCAAATATTAACCAAAATGGTTGCGTGACAAAAGTATTTACCAAACTAAGCTTCCAGGCTAAAACGCTGTCTCGGTCAGCGTTTTATGCCTGAGTTTTTTTTTAAAAAAAATCAACCTAAAAACGCTGTCTGGAACAGTGTCTTTGTTGTTGACCTTTTTTTTAAAGAATTTTGTAATTGCCTTTTATTTATAAAAAAGTTTTTAAAAAACAAAAACAGTTATACCAAAAACGCTGTCCCAGACAGCGCTTTATGTACAAACTTCCTTGTACCTAAAACGCTGTCTTAGACAGCGTCTTATTTTCAACCTAAAACGCTGTCTGGGACAGTGTTTCTCTGCTGGTGTGCAAAACAGCAGCAGAATCAGCCTTTTGCCACTGATCTGCCACTTTCTTCTGCCCCCACCCACCACCCCCTGCCATGATTCTTGCCACCACAATCCACCAACAACCCCCACCATCGACCACCATCTGCCACCACTTTTGACCTCCAACAACACTTCAACCAGCTCCACCACCAACCCCAACCATTCAACAACTGTCGATAACCACCCACCACAACCAACAACACTAAAACCACCATGGACAACCACATTAACCACCACGGGCCATCCTTTCTTCCCCATTTTCAACTATGGACTCCAAATGTCTGTTGTTTAATGTACATTAGCCCTGAAGGATCTATTTTGACTGACATAAATCCGATTTGGATAAATAAGCAAACAAAACTTCAAAACACAAACAGATTCATTCAACCAGCATGTCTTATATTGATAATGCAATCGTTATATACAGCATTCCAGGAAAAAGGACAAAACAATGATACAATACGTTCACTACTCATCAATTTGGTGTAACCCTTCCCTAGCCTCACTGTCGTCCCTTCGTCTTGGACGACGCCGAGTGTAATGGTGAATGGTGGTGAATGGGTTCCGGCGCGGGGGGGGGGGGAGTGAGCTGGTTGGACGATGCGTCCTCCTGGGTTCTGAAGGGTGCAGAACTGTGGAAGATGTACTCCTCTGCCTCTGTGTGCGACGTAGGATCACCTCCACTGCTACTCTGGCCGGGGTCGAACCGCGAATGGATGGAGTGACCATCATCACCGTCCCGTTGTTGGATGAGATGACCGTGACCATGTCTGCGTAAGGAAGTCGCGGACATATCTCGCATCCGCTGGACCTGGGCTCTGGTGGGTCCGTCTGTAAGGGCGAGGGACAGTGCATCATACATCGCCACCATATCCGCCGCCTGTAGTAATCATCGATCAGTCAAGTACATGATATTTAAAAAAGTTAAAAAATGAGGATGATAAGTATAGTAAAAGAAACTCACATATCCGCTAATGACGTCATGTGCCGGGTGGTAATGGGTGGACGGTGGTATGTAGCTGGGGTTGATGAAACGGCGTGTGATAAGCCTGTACCACACCATGTACGGATCGTCATGATCCATAACGCCTTGCATGGGATAACCCTGAACGACATGACCCAACCGCTGCTCCCATAGCTGAAGATACTGCCACTGCTCCAGTGCCCAGTTTGTCTCCGTCTTTCCCCGACGGTCAATGTCGTGAAGGCGCACGACAGTGTCACAGTTCTGGGGAATAGGCTGCTGCAGTCCGAACTGTCGCATGACGCGGTCAGGTAGGTGACTCTCCACAACCTCGAAACAGATCAGGGGGACCCGGGCACGCCACTCTCCCTGATGCTCCAGTAGATGTGCAGGCATGACATCTACCAACTCCGGTACATACGGATCCCATGTGATCTGCAATAACACATCCTAAATAAGTTAGTCCACAATCAGTATACACAGTACCTAAATGATTACAAATGTCTTCAGAGTTTGTACCTGATCCTCAGTGAGTCGATCAAGGGCGTCTCGGTAGTATGGGAGACCCGTCGCCGCATGTGCCTGTGTGAGTCTGGGGACCATCCACCTGGGGCAACAAATTTGGTAAGTATGTTTACAAAATGAAATCGTATATGGGAAAAAAAAATGACAATTGTTACAAACCTGCAACTGTAAGCCTCATCAGTTGCAGGGCAAGGCGGAGCGATGTGCGGCTCATACTGGTCATCCTGGTCCTGCTGCCCCGGACGATGTACAGCAGGCCTACCTGGTCTTCCTACGTGGATGTGATCCCAAGCCCATAGCTTCAATAGCAAAACACAAAACTATGTCAAATATGACATTACTCATTGCATAATTCGCTTGTGATAATATACGTAGTATACCTGAAGCACAAACAGAGGTCCTCCAATCTCAAGCGCACCACTCCGTGAGGCTCTGCAAAGTTGGCGATACAACACCGCCAAAGAGGCACTACCCCAGCTGTATCCACGGATATGCTCCCAGTCGTGGTCTAACAGCTGTAGGTAAATAAGCTGCAAGTGGCTCCCGCTCTTGTTGCCGAACAACACGCCGGATATGAGGAAGAAAAAGTACGCTCGAGCGTATCTCTGTACTGTGGCGTCATCGGCGTCCGCAGGCAAGCCCTGGAAAGTATCTCGTAACCAGACCGTCCTCAAGGCGGAGCCCCCTAACATCGTTGGGACCCGGCTGCACCCCGAGAACCCGCACAACCAATCCAACGAGATCGACTAGAAATGATCCCGTCACCATAGTCCCCTGTACTGGAAGGCGCGTCAGTATTGCCACGTCCCGCAATGTCACAGTCGCCTCCCCAACTGGTAGGTGGAAGGAGTGCGTCTCCTGCCTCCATCTCTCCACTAACGCCGTGACAAGGTGTCGGTCGATCTCCCTGAATCCCAAGCGATGTACACCGCCAAAGCTAGCGTACGTCACGTACTCAAGGCAGCGATCATGGACAACCCAGGGGGTCCTGTAGTGCCTGCACTGTAGTGGCTTCGCTACGTCACCCTGAAAAACACAGGAGCATTTATAAGTAACAAAAGATAGTACATCAAAGAATCCAAAAACGTTAAAGATGAATCATTACCATCAGGTTCCATACGTCGACGCTCCGATGGGTTTCCTGTAGTGTCAGGACAGAAGGGTCAACAGGTCCGGGTGTCCTATCCCGTACGTCCATGATATCTGTTCATTGAAAACGTTACACACCAAACACTAACACAATATATTGAATACTAATTTCGATTGAAAGGCATAAACAGGAAATCTCGAACATCCAACGTACAAAATAAAATTCATCGAATTGAACACAATAACACATAATGTAGAAAATTATAACTGTTTCATCAAAATAACACCACTACATACTACTATATCAAATAACACATATACACTTAGGTCCTATGTTGGTCTAGATGGACAAGTAGTGCGGTTGTGACCTTGCTGGTGACAACGACTGCATTTGGTTGGGGGCCGGTTGCTGTCATCCATCTCATTGCGTATGCGCTTCGACTTTGGACGACCTTTTCCACGTATCATTGTGCCGTCCGGAATGAGTTTAGGGCCTACGTACTGTGCCCACTGTGCCCAGGTTGTCTCGCAGGGGGATCGGCCAGAACTGTGGTGCATAGGTGTTCATGTAGGCGGCCGACTGCAACAGAGGGTCCACCCAAGGTCGTTCTGATAGTGAGTATGTAGCACAGACTGCTAGCACATGAGAACATGGGAGGTGGAATATCTTCGGTTTGTTGCACGTACACGTTCTCAACTGCCAGTTCACCGTATGCTTGTGGCCTCCTTGCTGTTCTGCCCGAGTACTTTGTTGGGTACATATAGGCACTGTTTCTACATATATCTCATTGGGAAAACCCTTCATTCCTACCATGCTCCTCAAACCTTTCAAATATCTGTTCGTAGAGATAGGTAACACTTGCACCCCATGACCAGTATCACACCTCATTTTAAGGTTCAGTTCAACAGTCATAGGGTTTGAACCAATACAACTATGAACCTCATTCATCAGATCAGTCACAGTC